AGAGAGAGAGAGAGATCGCGAAAACTCTACAAAAATATATTCTATCTAAATGTATATACACGCATCCCGCTAAGGAAATGATATCTTCGATTCGTAAGATCCGCATCAAATTATCGCATCAAATTATGTGCGTACAATTTAATCTTTCAATTTTCTCAGTCTTGAAATCTTTTTTTTTTTGGAAGGGATGTGGATTGTTCCATTTTGGCTTTGGCCCTCTGCGTGTGTCGGTGCGCATACGTACAGGACTTGCGTATACAGCAGTGTGTGTTAAACATTGAAAGTACACTAACATACATATTATCGATTTCTTATGAAGGTAATATGGACTTCTTCTCGAAATTGTACGTTGTCCCATTTTACAATAATGCATTTTTTTGTGTTCTTTACATATAAACACGAATGAGATACCTCATCCCGCGATCTGTGATGTATCTGTTAGGTACCGTATAGCGTTTGCAACATTGAGACAATAGATTGCTGACTAAGCTACTCTAACTAATGAGAAGGAAGAAAGGAAATAGTTAAATGTTGTGTTACTTGCGTGTACCAACAATTCTGAGTAGAATTTCGTCACGTGTGTCTAATAACGCGTGCCGATAGCTGTTCGGAGTATGAATAAACACCGTGAAACAAAATGAAGTTACGCTAAGCTTAAATGAAACTTTTAGGCCCAATTGCATACTTGTTTGGCATGACAAACACATTCGAAAATTTATCGTTCCGCTCCTTATAGAATCACAACGCTAGAGAAGAAAATTCTCTGCGCATATATATATATTTAATGTTAAACTCGATTACTAGTCAAATCACGAAAATGCTTTATGGATGGAACGTTTTGATTAATGACTCATATATTTTCTAAATTTTGGCATCGTCTATTGGAGCAATCATAGTTATTGCTTTGTAACTAATTCGTAAACGATTGATAAACAACATGTTTACTCTTGTAATATTCGAAAAATGTCTAATTATAATAATTATAACATCCTTTAGTAACATGAAATAACAATTGCACATATTTAAAAGTCTAGTTACGCTCTACTTCACATTTTTCTTTCATTTGCATACTTTATTCTTTAATCATTTATCTCTTTTAATCACTCTATGCAAGGATTAATAATCTGTCATCGATAATATACTGTACAAAGTGTTTCTCGCTGAACACATTTCCTTTGAACGACGCCTTCTTTGAACAAATTTCAATTAATTTTTCTTTCGTAAAGACGCCGAGAGATCAAAACATCATGGCAAAGTTAGAATTAATTTCAAATATAAAACGTATTTATAGAATTTTACATCGCTTTAAAAATTAAAAGGTTGTGATGAATTTCGGTTCTCCATTAAGGAAAAGCTTGGCTTAAAATTAGTCGCAATTCAAAGAAATATCTACTTAGCGAGAGACACTTTAGATATTAAAATAATAAAAATAACTTTTTGATTAACGATCGTATAATTAATGCATACTTATAATTTTCATTATCACAAAATACCGTCTACTCCGTGATACTATTTCATATGAAATATCCTGCCCAAAATAAATCTAATCGGTCACAACAATCGCTCTGCACCTATTACAGGTTGCGTCCACATAATGATGCAATCAGGCCTCTCTCCCTCTTTCTTTCCGCTTTCGTACATCTGACTTTTTGTCTTTATCAAATAATATGCAACAGCATGGCCATGCAAGGGTGGAGAGCAAAGCTACCATGCCTCATAGAATTCATAAAAGAACGCTTGTAGAATAGAATGGATGATAGATCTAGATGCTGCGGCGCGAAGCAGCAGCAAGGAAGGGATCGGCTGTCAACTGACAACTTCACCTCCGTCTTACTTGAAAGCAAACCCCATCAAAATCATCATCCTTACTTCAGCACCTCACCAGGCCTGTCTCGACGATACGTCTACACAAGCTAAAAGAACGTCCATTTGTCAATGCCTTCCAATTGAGAAAGGGTTCTACTTTAATAGGATGGATTGTGATCAATTCAGATGGATACGCGCATGTGTAACATCGTAATCTCTTCGCACCCGTGACGAGGCATTCGCCTCGCCGTTGAGGACCCGAACGTGAAATTGTGCTGCACTCAACAACACTTTCACTACCGATCGGCTTCGGTCATTTTATAACACTACGGAAAATCATACGACAGTTTTTCCTCGTATTGATTCGACATGACGGAATGCGAAATATTGAAAGTAACTGTGCGATCGAACGAACGTTAAAAAATCAGAGAAAGCAAAGCTGCTCGAAAAGTGATCGTAATCGATGCAAACAATTAAAACATTATCACCGCGAATCTTGCATTTAGCTATCTCTTTCATTTCACGTTCTTCGTGTGAGAATCTGGACGTTAAAGTTATTAGCGAAGAGTATTCCGGTACGATATGTACATTATTGGTCATCTCGCCCGAGTTGAAAGCATTTTGAGTAGCACGTTGCAAGGCAATGACGAAATATTGAGTATAAGTATTCATACACAAATCGTTCAAGCGAGCGTTGAGCGGATGAAAACGGGTATTATATTAACAACGCGCGTGCGATGTAAACAAATTTCTAAGTATTTTCATGTCAAAAATATATATTTATTTTTTTTCCCATTTAGATCAGATTGCCTCATTTTTAGATAATTGAAAAAAGAAATTCTCCACGCGTTGAACGATTTACTCGCAATATCCATGTATGACATGCATTTCACGTTTAATAATCTCGGTGAAAGCGAATGCATTTGATACGTTGGCATTTTAACGCCGAGGTAAAGCGCTTGACAGCCGTTCGCAGTTCCGCGATTGACCACGCGATAATTTGGCACATGCAAACTCTAAAGGCCAACACTCTCGTGTTGGCAAGAGTCATGAAAAATCCCTTTCCGCTCAACGTGATTTCCGTTAAAATTCGTACATTAACGTGCGAGCAATCGAAGAGTTAGCGAGCAGTAAGCGATTATGATCAACCATCGGATGTCGCAATCAGCGATCACTCCCATTATAGGTATAACATTAAAATCATTAAATCGCTCTCGATCCGCAACCCTTCGATTCTCATTATACGTTATAGATCTGAGACTGAATGCGGTTGAAGCGCACGATGCGGTGCGATGCCACCGAATTCAAGTTTGCGTCGCCATTGCATTGGAAAGTACGCGAAAGCATGTACGTACATATATGAATATATATGTATATATGTACATATATATGCATACACATGTATATGTATATATACATATGCATACATACATACATAGATACACTTTATGTGTTATATACGTATATTGTATATATACACGTACAAACACAGTCGAGGTATATTCGCGAAGTCCTTAAAGGAAAAAGAACTGCTGGCAGAAAGCTTAGCACATTCTGCTCTCGAGGTTACTCCTTGCCAGAAGGTTCTACGCATCGATAAACTGCAAAGTGTCAAAGAGGTCACATTTTACCGTAAATGAACAGAGCTGACGTCCCTAACGAACATGAGGAAATCATTCAGCGGAAATAAATAAGTTACTTTTGCGCGCTTAATACCGGATTTTAATAACTGACTTTAACACCGAGCCTACCATGTTGTGGACGCCAGTAGCAGCAGGCTAGGTACAGCGCCAGAATTATGACCAGAATCTCAACGAAGACCAGAGTAGCGGCCACACCGATCACTATCGCGGCATTCTCCTCGATGGTAGTTATTATGGCCTTGTAGCAACCCTGCAAAGCAATCATGCATGTCATCTCTTTCACGAACTATATACATGACACACACACACACACACACACACACACACACACACTTATATATATATATATATATACATACATACA